TACGGCAGTTGCGCGTCTGAGACGGAGCGGCTTAGGACATTACATACCTGGGATCTAATGGGGCAGGTATGACTAAGGCATAGCAGAGGAGGAGGAGAAGAAGGCATAGCAGGGGAAAGCACACGGCACAGGGACACTGACACACCGCATACATACATACATACATACATACATACATACATACATACATACATACATACATACATACATACATACATACATACATACATACATACATACATACATACATACATACATACATACATACATACACGTACGTCCTACCTCCGGACTGCAGCAGTGCGGGCAGGTAGCGGGCTATGGCGGTCACCAGCACTCCAGGGTCGTACCTTCGGTTGGGGGTGAGAGGTGGAGGAGGGGAGAAAAGGGGGGAAGACAGTCCGGGAAAGACAGCGGGGGGAAAAGCAAGGGGAAAACCCGTGTGTGTGCATGTGTGCATGTGTGTGTGTGTGGCGGAGGAAAGAAGAAAGGAGAACCACAGGCCTGAGCTACCCGAGGGGCCGTGAGGGGAGGGGGCACTGCGAGGAGGGCCCAAAGGAGGGGCCAAGGTTTACTAAAGGGGCGGCGGACCGGAAAGACTCCCAATCAGAACGGGCTGTGATGGGTTGTGGATGACGGGGGAGGGAGGGAGGGAGGGAAGAAGGAAAGCGCCGCCCCGGAATATCTGCCGCCCGAAAAACAGCGGGACAGCCGGAACTTTCCCTCACCCCGCCACGTAATTGAAAACGAAACCCCGGAAAAGACAGAGACCCATGGGTGTCATCCTGATCGCAATGTTACCGGTATGTTTTACCTAAACGCAGCCGGTGGCATGAGCGCAGCCGCCTTGGCAAGAGGCCGCATCGCCTCCTGTAGTCGGGACCACTCGGCAACCGCCTCGGGCCCACGGATCTGGCCGTTGCCGGAAGTTGGGAGTTGGGAGTAGGGCATGCGGCTGTTGTTTGCGTGGTTGGGGGGCCGTCGCGGTTGGGTAGTTCCGTAGAAGTGGGTAGAAGTTGTGGTGCTCGACTAGGCGGGGTTTCGGAGGCTTAATTAGGCTTTTTAACAAATGTAACTTTTCAATGTCGCGGTGGCGTGATTGGTCGTGGTGGTCTTTGGGGGGAATGTCTTCGTGGATTTTTGGCCAGCGGGGGAAATGTCTGTCCAGTGTGGGGGTTGGTTTATGTTGACCTCATTCCTGTCTTCCTACCGCCACGCACTTGCGTAGATACACATGCACAGATACACACACGCACCCCTAGGCACACAGACACACACATTGTTGTTGTTACATGGTCGTGGGGGTGCGTTCCCCGTACCTGCAAACCACCCTAATACGAGCCGAGGGCTCAAGGGCTGCCAGATCGCCTATATAAGCACCATCCTACCACACACATATGACACTTGCACCACCAGCGCATCCATTCCCAGGCTCAAGCCACAAACACCAGCGCAAGGCCTGCACGGACCAACCCACCCACTGACCCACCCACTGACCCACCTGCTTCAAAACCTCGTAAAAGTTGTCATTGCCGATCTGCCGAACAACGTTGTGTGTGTGTGTGTGTGAAAGAGGGAGGGGATGTCTATATATATACAAAGTATTCACGCACATGCACACACACACACATTATTTAACTTGCGGCTCCTAGCTAGGCTCTTGGGCCCATAGCTATCCGGCTCGTGTATGGGCACTCGTTACACCTCTCTCTGTAACTAACGCAACCGAGGTATAACGCATACATACATACATACATACATACATACATACATACATACATACATACATACATACATACATACATACATACATACATACATACATACATACATACATACATACGTGAGTGAGTGAGTGAGTGAGTGAGTGAGTGAGTGAGTGAGTGAGTGAGTGAGTGACTGAGGAAGACGGAGCCCTTCCATCCAACGTGATAAGAAAACGAATTTTCAGGATTTTTTTACTAGTTCCAAAACGAGCTAAAACCTCCTAAAACCCTAAGGAAAGCATCCTCGTACACACACAGACACGTACACACACACACACGCTCCCAACCCCCCACCCGCGTCAGAAATGTCCCCTCCGGCACCACCACGTTCCAAGTGTTGTAGCGAATGAGATCCAGATCCACCCCCAGGGCCGTCAGCACGTGCCCCAGCGGGTTGGCCTCCTTGCCGCGACCGGCCATGCCTGAGGTGGTTAGAGGGCAGCGGGACCGGGGCCGGAGGGAGATGGGGTGGTGGGCAGATGGGGTGATGGGGAAATGGGCAGATGGGGAAATGGGGAAGTAGGAACTGCAAAGGGGGGTCAAGGAGGATAAAGTGCTTTGGTTAGAGAGGAAGAGAGCGAGGGGATCGATCTTTTAAACCGCAACGAGATGGAGGAGTGGCTGGTGGGGAAGCGTCATGGCGGCTCTAAGGGGAAGAACATGACCGATTGAAAGCTGCCTTGTGGAGAACAAGGGGGAGCTGTGCGGCCTGACAGAGGGAAAGAGAGGGGGAGGGGGAGGAGGGGGAGAAAGGGGTTTTGGGGAAGGAGGGGACGGAGGAGTAGTGGTTGTGATATTGCACGGTTGGGTGTGGGGAAAGCGGCTTTTAGGGTTTAGACGAGTGACACGCAGCTGGTGGTGGGAGCGACTGGCGAGGGGTGAGTGTCCAAGGTGTTATATTACGTGTGATAGTAGCACAAGTATGGAAATACGGCAAAGTACAAATTGCCAATATCCGGAAGGCCGAGCCACAACACGACGATTTTGGAGCTGCAGCGATTTCGGAGCTGCAGCATCCATGGTAAGATGTACGGTGCAAGTAAGTGTCCCGGTTCTTTTAAAACGCATATTCACTGCCGTACACGCACCAGAGTACAGGGAGGGACCGGACTCGAAATGGAATCCGTCGCGAACCCAGGCGTGGGCTGCGCCTCCGGGGATGCTGTGGGACTCACATACCGTCACCTTTAGTACGGCAGGGTTTAGGGTTTGGGGGAAAGGCGGGGAAAAGGGGAAGGGGGGAACGCGAGGGTTAGGGTTGGATGGGCGGCGAGAGATCCCCAAAAAAGCGGGTGATAGGGATCAGGGTCATTAAAATGGACGAGCAATCACGGGGGAGCATGCCGCGGAATGGGTGGGAGGGGAATGGAAGGGATAATGAGCTGTGCGGAGAGGGGACGAGGTGCGGAGAGGGGACGAGGTGCGGAGAGGCGCAGTGTGAGTGATGGAATCTGGAATGTGACCGCCCTTTCTGAGGCTGCGGACCCGGGGCCACGTGGAGGAGCTACGACCACGCGTTGACTCGCTAACAGGGCGCCAGCCTATTTGGCTGTCAAAAAGTGTGCTGGGAGTTATTGTAGCTTTGACAAAAGCAATAGCACTTACTTTGTAACCGTACTTTGCGAGCATCCCAGCGCAGCAGAGACCTCCGATGCCGCTGCCAATCACAACAATGTCGGTCTCATGGCTCCGAGCGTCGCCTGTAAGCTGCAGCCTAGGAGGGGCTGGCTTTGATGCTGTCGAGGAAGCCTGACATCGAACCTTTATAGCTGGGCTGCTTCTGGCCCGGGATTTGGTCCACGTTGGCCTTGAGCCTATATGCTTGCGTAACATTCCTTACCCCTGATCCGAAACGTTGTAGATTTCTGTAATGGTATAATTAATAGTAATATGATTCACATAAGCATAAACATGTATCGTTCTTTGAGACAGGCTTTGCAGTTGACCGTTGGTTCGGGTTATGTGGTGCGTCTTTGCAGTTTTGTTATTGAATCCCCCGAAATCGGAAACGGTCATCTATTATTGTCTTAAACCTAGCCTCAATTTCATGTCTCAGCCTAATAAACTTTGGACAACCGTCTGCAAGCTTCCTCCGAAGCCTTGAAAGCTTTAGGCGAATTCCAGCACAAATCAGCATCGGCCAGCTTAAGATGCATTGTAGCATTGTTCAGTATTCTCGAGTCCACATGCAGCTGCATAGCCCTTCTATCAAAGGACCAAGGAACAACTTACACTGTCGAGCATTTCTCAAGGATGCGGATGGCAGAAGCCCGCTCGCAGGGCCAAGCGATCTTCCACTACTCGGGAAACGAGTTATTGTTACAGGTACAGTATAAAATAGAAAAATCTCGCGCAAGCCCCCATCTCCCATCATCTCCTAATCCCCTACCAACTGTGCCCCCACACGCACTGCTTCCAATCCCCACCAAACCATGTCCCCATCAGCACCTAGGCAGTATAGCCAAAAGTTAGCCGCCAAGCTCATCAACGCCGGAGCTCGTCCGTTGATCGTACCTGCCGTACAGATTACGGAACTCCCGCCTGAAGACCTATCCCAGGCAAGCCCGACGCGTCCTTCCTAAACACCTCCATATAACGTAAACCTACTCTTGAAATTGAATTGCGCCTTTAGGGCTGAGACGATGCGAGTGTGTCATATCACAACCCCCAGCACGGACCAGCACACGAGGTGTCATCTATCTACATGTCTATCTGTGAGAAACGTAATGAGACCCCAAATCCCATTTTACCATTCTCCTCATCATTCCCTTTTCTAGTCTAGTTAAGGTCCACACAGGTTCGGCCACTAATCCTCTAGGGGATCTCGGAGATCTCAGCTACCGTTGCGGATTTCTCCCTGCGTGACCTGGCCACTGCCGCCCGTGCTGCTAGGCTGTCAGCTGCCGTCTTTCCCCGCTACTCCGCGCCACACCCACGCCCGTGTCACGTCGCATCCTCATCCTCTCATCCTCTCATCCCCTCATCCCCCCATCCCCCCATCCCCCCATCCTGGGCAGCGTGTAAATCGGTTCCTTATATCTCAAGGCTGGCTAGACTTACTGCTGCATTCTTTGTACTGTACTGACATCCTCATTTCTTCAGTTTGCAGCTTTTGCTTGTTTTTTGTATATCGTTTTTTAACATTTTATATCTCCGTGTTTTACGACCCTCCTCCACCTCTACGACCCCCCCGCCGCATCTGCACAGCAACCCACCCTATGTTGCCACTTCTCCAACTCCCGTACCCCTCTCCCCGCCAAAAAAATGTTTTTTATTGCTCACCTCATGCAGATGCGGTCCGCCATCTCGACCCTGGTGGCTGAACCCACGTTAATGACCCACATAGCCTTCACCTCCCGGAATGGCATTTTCGCCTTCCTGGAGCAGCTTTGTCTCCAGTTGGGGGGTAAGAGGGACTTCAACTGGGCTTTCTTTTCATGTCAATGTCCGGGGAATTTTGTTAAAAAAGACAAAAAAATCCTTTCCTAATCGTCTTCGCCTCTCCTATGTCGACGTTTCCTCTTCTCCCTCGTATCAAGTTGGGCTGCTATCCGCGGCTTTGTCGTTTTAGGGGGGTAAAGGGGGGGTGTCTCACACAGTTCATGGGTTTTGCCGTAGCGCCATGTCAGCAAGCTTGGACCCTAAAATAAAAATGTATCTT